TTTCATAAGGTTTCAGTGTTAATGTTTTAATAAGGCTTTAGAAACAATGTGAGAGTAACAAAACCATACAATCAGGCAACAAATGGTCTTCAGGAACATGGCCATATTTGCAAACAATATGTGTTTTTCGCTCCATAAGACGCACTTTTTTCCCCCCAAAAGGAGGGGGAAAATGTGCCTGCGTCTTATGGAGTGAATCCCGACGCCCGAGACATGCAGTTTCGGGCGCCGGGCGGGTAGTAGGAGCCACTGCTCGTTCAATACGAGTGATCTAATGAGAGCACTCGTATTAAAAGCGAGCAGCGGCGACGATCGAGATCACCATAGAGCAGACGAAGAACGGACTTTCTTCGTCTGCTCTGTGTGATCACTGAGACCGTTGCGCTGTAATCACAGCGCCACCTGTCTCAGCGGTCACTAACTGCAGCTTCTTTCACAGCTTCTGTCATAGAAGCTGTGTCATTAGCTACAGTATGTAGAGTGATCCATAAGGCGCGCCGGACCTCCCTGCGTCCTATGGTCCGGTGCGTCTTATGGACCGCAAAATATGGTACAACTGGACAGCAAGATTTAACTTCCAGAAATATGACATTATCATCACAGAGCTCATCAGAGTTGGCTTTATTAGCATGCCAGCAACTGTGTTACACTACTGTGCCGTACATTGTAAAGTCCTGTGCACAGCTATCTTTATGCAGCCTTCTGCTGATAAACTTCATATTTACAAAGACTAAATGTCGCCTGTCTCTAGCATAAGCAAATATTGACCTAATACAAAAGCAGTTTGTATTCTTCCTTGTATCATGGTGTGCTGTCTGCATTTCTTCCAGATCTGTGCCGTGATCCAGTCTGAAACTTAGAGAACTATGAGGTGAGTGATTTCCACTCACCTCATAGTTCTAGCCGACCTGTGACAATGACACTGTCACAGGTCGGCTCAGTAGATCGGGAGGTGAGCGAACACATACCAGGTTCGCTCACCTCTCGATCCTGTCACGGCTCTCTGCCATGACAGGGGGAGGGGCTGGATACCCCTCTCCCCGCTCCGATCTGCCAGCGCTGACTGGCGGAACGGACCAGGGGAGGGGGCGGGTACAGTTGGCTCTGCCTCTAGATAGGCAGAGCCAGCTGTCACTCACGCAGCTGGGCGGATCCCGTCATCTACGTCGGCATCTGCTCCGGCGTCTCAGTATACCGCGAGCTGTAGCTCGCAGTATACTGAGCTTAGGGTAACGGGAGGACGCTAGTTTGTGTCCTCCCCTTACCCTAAGGAGAACTATGGGGAAAAACACTGACCCCATAGTTCTCCTTTAACCTCTTATCAGGAGCTTCCTGTAATAAAAGTCCTGTCACTGCTGCTCTCTCTCCTTGTGCAGTGTGACTGGTCTGTATCCACCCCCTTCTGTCATTTTCTGCTGGCAGCCCTGGTTATGTACAGCACAGTGATGATGTCACCACTGCTTTACAAGGTGATAAATAGGTTTGCAAAGGCATTAGGTGGGACAAGGCATTGGAAGTATATTCTTTATTAGCAAAGCTAACGATTAATTTTCATAATTGACTAGTTGCCTGATTATTTTATCAACTAATCGATTGGTTGTAATTTAAAAAATGTCTCTCTCATCAATGATAATAGTTGCCAACTATTCTCACCATCGATTATTATCGATTTAGTCGATTAGTTGTTGCAGCCCTATTCTTTATGGCTAAAAATCAGGTTTATGTTGGGAAGGAGTTATATCAATGTACATAAACATTGTTTTGGGGATTAGATAAAATCTTGTTCACAATTGGCACTTTGAAACCACATAGTATGAGGTCAGGTGAGCTTCCATTCTGCACACATGCTTATGTACACTTTGTTGGCATTTCCAGTAGAAAATTTGGATATGGATTCCGACACTAATGGAACAAGGTGAAGGAAGCAGCTTCAAAATATGTTGTTTTTTCTCTAATGATGTTATGCGAAAGTGAAAAACAGATCACATGGGGATCCTTCACTGAACATTAGATTGGATTTCTTTTTGGAACATAATTACACACTACGAATGCATGCTACAGCTTGCCCAGATTTAGCTGCTAAAGTATTACTACAATCATTCATTGTACACTATTTATCCAGATTAATATTTAGAACATTTTTGTGGACGGCATTTACAAGCTGCACTTTAATATATTTGGTATAAAGGAGAACTATGAGGTGAGTGATTTCCACTCACCTCATAGTTCTAGCCGACCTGTGACAATGACACTGTCACAGGTCGGCTCAGTAGATCGGGAGGTGAGCGAACACATACCAGGTTCGCTCACCTCTCGATCCTGTCACGGCTCTCTGCCATGACAGGGGGAGGGGCTGGATACCCCTCTCCCCGCTCCGATCTGCCAGCGCTGACTGGCGGAACGGACCAGGGGAGGGGGCGGGTACAGTTGGCTCTGCCTCTAGATAGGCAGAGCCAGCTGTCACTCACGCAGCTGGGCGGATCCCGTCATCTACGTCGGCATCTGCTCCGGCGTCTCAGTATACCGCGAGCTGTAGCTCGCAGTATACTGAGCTTAGGGTAACGGGAGGACGCTAGTTTGTGTCCTCCCCTTACCCTAAGGAGAACTATGGGGAAAAACACTGACCCCATAGTTCTCCTTTAACCTCTTATCAGGAGCTTCCTGTAATAAAAGTCCTGTCACTGCTGCTCTCTCTCCTTGTGCAGTGTGACTGGTCTGTATCCACCCCCTTCTGTCATTTTCTGCTGGCAGCCCTGGTTATGTACAGCACAGTGATGATGTCACCACTGCTTTACAAGGTGATAAATAGGTTTGCAAAGGCATTAGGTGGGACAAGGCATTGGAAGTATATTCTTTATTAGCAAAGCTAACGATTAATTTTCATAATTGACTAGTTGCCTGATTATTTTATCAACTAATCGATTGGTTGTAATTTAAAAAATGTCTCTCTCATCAATGATAATAGTTGCCAACTATTCTCACCATCGATTATTATCGATTTAGTCGATTAGTTGTTGCAGCCCTATTCTTTATGGCTAAAAATCAGGTTTATGTTGGGAAGGAGTTATATCAATGTACATAAACATTGTTTTGGGGATTAGATAAAATCTTGTTCACAATTGGCACTTTGAAACCACATAGTATGAGGTCAGGTGAGCTTCCATTCTGCACACATGCTTATGTACACTTTGTTGGCATTTCCAGTAGAAAATTTGGATATGGATTCCGACACTAATGGAACAAGGTGAAGGAAGCAGCTTCAAAATATGTTGTTTTTTCTCTAATGATGTTATGCGAAAGTGAAAAACAGATCACATGGGGATCCTTCACTGAACATTAGATTGGATTTCTTTTTGGAACATAATTACACACTACGAATGCATGCTACAGCTTGCCCAGATTTAGCTGCTAAAGTATTACTACAATCATTCATTGTACACTATTTATCCAGATTAATATTTAGAACATTTTTGTGGACGGCATTTACAAGCTGCACTTTAATATATTTGGTAAGTATGGATTTTCTCTCCTTTTGAACTTTATTCCAGCTTTTTTTCTTGACTAGAACAGTGTAATCCTCACTGTGACAATTAACCTAACAAAATAGAAGGCTGAGAGAACATATTACTCATCACTCATAAATGACAAGACAGAAAAGGTGGGACTCCTAATTATGTGTCAAATTTCAAGACATAAAAATAACAAATCCGCTTCCCAGAAAGATCTTGGTAATGGAGGGGGGAAGCTTTTGGTGCCAGGTACCTGAAGAAATACATATGGTTCTCAGGAGGGTTATCTGGTGTTAGGTGTAGACTATGGGTAAAGGTAAAGCTTAGTTCTAAAAAATAAATGCATACATCTTCAGAAAAAAAGAAATGTGCATTATTTTTTGTATAGGAGCCATTGCAACTTCAATCATTGAATCGTGAGTGCGCGGCTATGCCTCCTGCAGATTCTCCCTCCTGCTCTGAGTGAGGACATTCAGTAACTGGGACGGAGGAAGAATGAATGGACTACAAATGCCGTGACGTCACCATACTTGTATTATTTTGCTGCAGTGGCTGATGGCACTTGGTAGTTTCTCCATTCACAGATCCTGTCAAATGATATGTGCGATGTGACAATGTTTTCTGTTACACCCTGAATACGGATGTAACAGGGTCCAAAAGGTAAACCCAACTTCTAAGCTGGCCATACACCCATCAAGAAATAGGCTCAGTTCCCCCATTCACGTTTCACACTACCTACCCCCACCACCGGGGCTATTCTATTTTGACATTAGTGAATGTGCCAGGGTCAGCATACCCAAACAGTAACTGCAAAGGATTGGCTGAAGTTGCAGTTCAGCTGACAATTTTTGGACTGGTTTTTTAGACAAAAGTCGATTGAAAATGGAGGAGTGTTGATGGGACCATACACTGCTCAGACTTTGGTGGATTCAGTAGGACTTAGATGAAATTTGAGCAGTATATTGCCAGCTTTAGATGTTAAGGTTGGGAGGGTTAAGCGATAGGTGACGTTTTAGACCCCGTTCACACCGTACTATTACATTGCAGTGCATTACTAAACGCACATTCATTTGTAGTATTTTGCGTTGCATTAAGGCAGTCCATTAAATTGTATACAAGTTGAAAAACCCACAGCAACGGAAGAAAAAAAACAGACCGGCACTTTTTTTTTTTCATACAGCACACAGAATGCTGCACTGCAGGTCTAATGGGACCTACTGTACGCATTGGGGTGCCATTTTAAATAATGGTAACGCACTGCAGAGTGTAGTGCCAGGATGGATTAAAAGATGAATTTGTGCCACGTAAGCGGTCATTTAATTTACTCTAATTATATTGTGCCCAGAGCTCAGATTTAACTCGGAATAGAACATTAAAGAGGAAAAACAAAAACAAAAAACGGTTTCCAAAGAATATTAGAATACATATATAAAGCAAACGTATTCGGGGTGAAGTTGTGATTTGGTTTCCTCATAAAGGACTTTTATTCACCTTCAGATGTTTTCCACCTCTTCCACAGATCCGCCACTGTAATATGTTTGTCTTCTCTGTGCAAATGATTGTGCTTGTGAGAAGCATCTTTGTAGTTCATGTCTTCCCGCAGGAACTGCAAGATATTACAAATCAAGCTCTTTAGTAACAGGCAAAAATGGTAAAATAAAGCAGCAATGTGACATATATATAATATGAACAGTTAAAGACTGTGTGTCGATGGACGAATGCAGCTCGCTTTCACATGCATTCCGTCTGCATTTGAGATCAGTTTCAGACACTTCTGAGATTAAGAGTTCATTGACAGGTGCATTTTAGCTCAAGTTGAATTGCTAAGCAGTTGTATCAAACTGATTTAAAAAGGAGAACTATGAGGCGAGTGCTTTTCACTCACCTCATAGTTCTAGCCGACCTGTGACAATGAGACTGTCGGGAAGTGAGTGAACACATACCATCACTGGCTCACTTCTTGATCCTGTCACGGCAGGGAGGGGCTGGACTCCCCGCTCCAATCCTCCAGCGCTGACTGGCGGATCAGACGGGGGAGGGGACAGGTACAGCTGGCACTGCCTCTAGATAGTCACTCACACAGCTGGGCGGATCCAGACATAATTGTCGGGATCTGCTTCAGCTGCAGAGTCTCGGTATACCGCAAGCAGTAGCTCACGGTATACTGAGCTTAGGGTGACGGGAGGACGCTAGTTTGTGTCCTCCCGTTACCCTAAGGAGAACTATGGGGAAAAGCCCTGACCCCATAGTTCTCCTTTAAGCTGTTTGTGCACTCCCCTTGACTTGCATGTAGAAGCACTTCAGCTGCAAACAAAAGGCCAAACAGGCTCTAAAGTGGTTGTGTCAGGCAGAAATGGGTTGCATTTGTGATTTTTAACTGTCATGAAGCATCAGTTTTAGAGAAAAAGGTTATTAAAAAATTTTCTGTATCTGGTATTATTGTGGAAAGCAGCTTAAAGTATATATTGGGGCATCTATGCAGTACATGCATATTCCTCAATGTTTTATCACGTTAGAGATGCTGCAAGGACAGAAAATACCCGATCTGCCAGAAATGCACTGAGCTCCTCATGTCCAGTAGTGGAAAACAGTGCTTTTCCGGACTGAAACAACAAGGGTGCCAGCCCTGCCAAATTGCCTTTTGCTGCACTACAGAACACATTCCCCTCCCCCTCATACCATTAGCACAGAGGGAGTTTGTCTGGAGCCCAATGAAAGAACTGGGAAGTCTGATTAGAGTCCTTGAGATAACAGGCTGAACAGGGTACAAGCACTTATTTGCATTTTCTGTTTATAATTGGAGAATGGAGTACAATCTTATACTAATTTGTATTGAGATTGTAGTACATCACGGGAGTGAGCTTGGAGCGGTGGCTACTATACAAAACACACAGGGACCAGGCGAGGGAGGGAGTAGCCACCATCCAGAAGGAAGGACAGTGTCAGCACCAATTCAGAGATGATTTGAGGATCTACAGCCGAGTGATACACAAGATACATTTTTGTTAATAATTAGGGGACTTGAATGCATTTTTAAGATTAAACTCCTAAGTTTAGGGTCACTTTAAGGCATGCTGCTAAAGATGGCTTTCATCAAAGGTTTGTAAAATATTGCTTAAAAAAGAAGTGAAGCCAAACCTTTTTTTGGCTTTACTTCCCTTTTGGGTCACGGAAGTATATTTACGGATGCACTCGTCTGCCCCAAAGTCATCAGATAGTGCAGAGCCACGTCACAGCCATCAAGGATCCCAACAAAATTGGATCCACACAACAGCCCAATTGACAGCTGGCACTGCTTCTCTAGATCCAGAGTCAGCTGTGCCCGCCCCCTCCTTTGTCTGTACATCCAATTAGAGCTGGAGGAACAGAGAGGGGAGGGGAAAACCCTGCAGGGAGCGGTGAGGTCCCTGCCATCAGCTCTTCTCTTCCACTGATACAGGGCTCAGTGTGGAGATAAAGTCCCTTTAAATGTTTTACACTCTAAATCACTTTTCCGTATGTTTGGCGTCATGCCTCACTGTAAACAGTTTTGTTAAGCAAATCAATTTTGTAAAACTATTGCAAAGTTTCTTATATGGAGACTATTGGCACTTCCTATTGCCAGCTGACAACACTAAGGCCATATTCACACCTGGAAGACTCGCATGATTTGCTGTACAATACGATGACCGCTGTCACAGCCTGCAGCTATTCACATGTAAATCGCACATCCTGCGATTACCTACAGATGACTATACCTTGGACGCAGTCCAAATGTGATCATCCGCAGGTGATCACAGTATGTGCGATTACATGCAAACGGCCTGAGATCAGCGGTGGGCGGAGGAATTGGTGGGATTAATGAATAGGGCCTAAACTACTGACTTGCAATCAGCAGCAGCTTTGTTGGTCTACCATGCAAGCTTCTTCAACTGACCACTAGGAAGCCCGATAAACCAATAGTTATCCCAATGGACATGAAGTAGCACTTGCGGTAGGGCTGACAATACTGCCACCAATTGTGATGAGGAATGCGGTTAATGGCAGGATCTCTGGGCAAGAAACTTTATATTTCTGATTCCTCAGCACGTGTTGCTGATTGGCGAGCTGTAGGTCAGACACAGCAGGGGACGTTAGACAGATGTAGAGGGAATCAAGGTTCTCACACAGAGCCTAGCAGTTGGACTAGGCAGTGTACAGCAAAGAGGCATTTCTCTGCTTGGGCTGGGTGGCAATATCTCAGAAGAAAACAAAACAAAGTTACTATTTTCCTGCACACATTCCAGTGACATCATTTAGACAGCAGCATCAACTGGACTTGAAAGGCACTCTGCTATCTACACAGGTACTAACCGTTGGCTTACTGGCCAGTGGTGGGACGTAGTTCTCAACCATTTAGCAGCAGATGGAGAAACCATAATGGAAAAGAAAATATAGTGGAATGCATTTCTGCTTCCACGGTAGCTTATAAGGTGCACTATGCGTGCACAATCTCACTGTAATTGATGGCACAGTCTTGAGGTTAAAAGAGAGCTATGAGGTAAGGGTTTTCCCCATAGTTCTCTTTAGGGTCATGGGAGGACATATACTAACCTCCTCCCGTCACCCAAAGCTCAGTATATACCAGGCTATTGCCCACGATATATACTGAGAGCGGTGCAGCCGGGGCGGATCCCAACATTACTGTCGAGCTTCACCGAGCTGCGTGAGTGACAGCTGGCTCTGCCTACCTAGAGGCAGAGCCAGCTGTGCCCGCCCTCTCCTCCGTTTGATCCTCCAGAGCCGAGTGGAGGAACGGAGAGGGGAGGGGGTCCCTGAGAGAAGCGATGACTGACGGTCACCTCTCACTGCAGGGAGACGATCGGGAAGTGAGCAGATCGGTGCATGTTTCTGCTCACTTCCCGATCAATAGAGCCGACCTGTGACAGCTTCTTTGTCACAGGTCGGCTCTAACTATGAGGATGAGTGGAAATCACTCACCTCATAGTTCTCCTTTAAGTAACAATCTGGTGGACATCATAATTCAGTGTTAATACAGTGATCATTTTACACTGTTCATTCCCCTATACAGAACCCAATACCATAAGGACTCATTCACACCGTGTGTTGGGCTGCCTTGTTCAACGCAGGCCGAACACACGAAAAGCTGAAGGGACCCCTTGGTAACATTTGCCAAGTTGTGGTGACCCCCAACCGTAAAATGTGGGGATGCACCAATACTAGTATCTGTGTGGGCTCTCTGGAGGCTATGCGGGCTCTCAGGTGGCTAGTGGGACTTTGTTGGCGTCCTGTGCACTTGGTGTGGTGATCAAGCACTCACCTCCCCTCACTCCTGCTGCTGCAGCGCCATCTAGGAGAACTGGCAAGGCTGCGCTAGGAGGAGGCGGAGGAGCCTCTTACCTAGAGCAACACAAGGCATCTGGGGACCCCCTCAACTGTGCGTTGCGACCCACAGGTTGAGAACCACTGTACTAACACATTACTACAGGTCACAGCATGCTGCTGCGAGCATTGAAAGCGAACACACGCAAAAAAAAGTTTGGCTCCTGCTGTGAAAAAAAATGCAACTTAACACAGTATGTTGAAAATTGCTTGTCAATGCACGGCGCCCCAAGTGCACTCAGCGTGCATGGAAGTGGTGCTGTTACGGCTTGTAAGGGTCACCTGACTGAAACAGCATCTCTCAACTTCAGTCCTCCCCAAAATGTCCTGTACTCAAGACTCCTTAAGGGCTTGTTCATAGCAGCCACCTTGCCAAACACAGTTCCAACGCAAATCGATAGGACATGAGACAGATTGCTTTGTCTATTAGTTTCGTTTACGTTGCAATTTACACAGCGCATTGGAACATGTTGCCATGCATAGAGTTACATGTGCTGTCGGACTGCCAGGTTTTATAAAGCTTAAAAAAAATGTGATGCATTGTAGTGTAGCATGTGTGCACACCACAAAACAGTGGGCATGCGTTATGTACAGCTTTATGCACAGCTGGTATGAACGGGCCCCATAGGGTTAAGAATGAGTTACTAGAAAGTCAAATAAAAATGTTTGTGTTGTTTTTTTAACTGCAATACTGTGATTCTCAAGTGTTTACATGGGCTGTAAATACAACAGTTACACCAGAAATTACACAGAACTGTATGTACTGTGAAGGAAAACAGGATGTATGTAGACGTGCAGGTCATTAACCATCAATGTGACAATGAGAGACTATAAGGGCTTGTTCACACCATGTCCGGATCATGCCCAGGCCAGAACCATTTGACCAAAAAGCTTCCCAATGTATCCCTATGGTATTTCTGGGTTCACACCAGTGCAGTCCGTTCCAAAACAGACAAAAAAAAATACTGCTTGTCTCATTTTCCCTGGTCTGGAATGCACTGGAGCACATGCAAATACACTGGAACGCCCATTTTAAGCATATAAAAAAAAAAAAACCAGCTTCGGAGCCCGGAAAAATGCAATGCACCGCGTTCTAGATCTGGTCCATAAAATGGTGTGAACCTGGCCTAAGGCATGCTACATGGAAGAGCAGAAATAACCAAAGTAATATTTCTCAGGTCCCAATGACTGTTCTAGCAATCAACTAGGAGAACCCATGCAATAAAAGACCAATTGCAGCTGCCC